GCTAATATAATTGTATTTAGAACTGTAGTTATTTGGTTCACTTTATTACAGTGTGCTCTGCTTTGGAGGTAGTTTCCTCTTTGCTAATTGTTTACTCTGACAACTGTGATCACAAAGTATTACTGCAAAGTATTCATAAATGGAGGGAAACACTGCTGAGCTGGTACACGTCCTGGCTGAGGTGCTGCAGCTTAAAAACCACTTAAAACATAAGAGAGAAGGAACCAGCCTGCATGAATCTGACTGAGCGAATGCCTTGTTCTCTTGGAAGTATAAAACAAACAGGTATCAAAATTGCTCTTTTTTTTTTTCTTTTTCTCCAATGCATAGCATGACAGCTGGCAATAAAGACTTCCTGTAGTGATGCATTGAGGTGTATGAAGGCCTGAAGATGTACTCTGTCAAAATTCTGCACATGCTTTAGTAGCAAACCAGCAGCGGTGACATGTTTTATTCTTTTTGATAAACTTTTTTTTTAACAAAAATATTAAACCATGTGAAATTGTCTACATTTGGATAATGATCCTTGCATTGATCAACCTGAATTGTTGACTAATTGATCAGTCGGCTGATTATTAAAGTAAAAATTTCAGTTAACCTTTTTTTTTTTTCTTCCTCCATCGTAAAAATGTGTCCCCTTGTTTTTGTTTTGTATTGTAAGCAGAATATTTTCAGGTTTTGGACTGTTGGGTGGACAAAATAAGACATTTTGTGCCTTTGCAGTAAATGATGGTTACTTTGATCAAGTAAATAAAACTAATTGATAATAAAGATAATGCTTCTTACTTCCCTTAATAATTTAATATTTATAGCTGATGTCAGTGTAGATTGGTACAGACTTGCAGTATAATGCTGCACAATATGATGCGGAAGTGGCAACAACACAGCACAGCTGCTTGTAAAACAGAAAATCAACAGAATTGTTGAGGCAGTTGCTGATGGGCTGAAGTGCTGAGAGCAGATCAGTGATGGACGAGTTTTACATTAGTGTATTGCACAGTTCTCTGGTTTTGCTGCTCAGGAATTAAGGTATTATCCCCTGACAACTTCCAATTGTGGACAAAAGGCAACATTGCAAGTTTGATCCATCTTATTGATGCGTCCTTTTAAGGGTCATTTTTTTTCTTTTACTAGAAACATAGTGGCAGCCTCTTCTAAGCTCTCCAGTCCTCATGTGGAGCTTAGTTTTTCTCCATTCATTTTCCTCAGAGCAGCCTTCCTCTACCTTACTATCGATCTGCTGTGTAGCATCAATGTGCTGCAGTGTCAATTAGAGAGCTCCTCCTGCCCATCTGTGAGAGGAGAGCTAGAGCATCTCTAAAAGCATTCCTGATTGGCTTTGCTGTGCAGCAGCTGGTCAGGAAGATGAAGAGGGGAATAATCTGCTGAAAATAAATGTACATTTGTTTCAGATATATTCTTGTTTGTAATTATAATGTTCCTTCTGAAATACTGATTGCACCGTAAAATGCAATGATTTGAGGTTTTTTTTTGAGCTGGTCTCCACAGTAGATTCGTCAGCTTCAGGAGAACACATCCTTATTCCACCCCCCCGGTGCCTTTTTAAGGGTAGGTGGGTTGAAGAGAGTGGGAGGGAGGGAATAGAGAAACTTTGTGACATTGCTGTTTGTACACAATGACTTTCCGGTTTATGTTCTGTAAAAGACAGACTGCCTCCATCCCTCCTTCAGATATTAACAGGTTGTTGGCAACATTTCCTAAATATCAAAATTGTTTTTACACTTAAAAACAAGCATTAGTAACAGATGTGCTGGTGAAGCGAGACGAAGTACAATCTAAAATGACACTGTCTGCTGTGCACGTTAAAAATCTGTTCTATTTGATCATTTTTTAGTCAGAAACACATTTAGTTGACTCTTCTGTTATGCTTATTTTAATCTTTAATGCATACAAGTAAACACAGGAAGTCTTTAACTTGTTTAAATTACATGATTACAAAGAAGCAGGTTTTGTCCTCAGCAGAATTAAGGTGTTTCTGTAGATTCGCTGCTGCTCCTGCAGCTCACAAGGCCGTGCAACAACACAGTTATTTGCCGGAAGGTTACTGCATGGCCTTTTTGAAATTAATGCATAGTGTATTCTCAAATATGCTTTTGCACCTGAGGAAAGGTTGGTCTCCTGATATGAATCTCCAGTAATTCCTGCAGCTGTCTTTGACATTTTGTAGCTGGTAAGCATTTCTGTTGGCGTTTCTCAAGTCTCTGTAATACATGTTTATTGAGGTATGTCATTATGCGCTGATTTATAAATGCACACATTTTCTCTTCTCATTAAAGGACCCTGCAACTTGTTTTCTTTGAGTGCTGTGTTCAATGCATTGATTTGAAAGCAAACCAAAACTGAGGTAGTTTTGTGTGCAGGGCTTGAAAGTTGTAATATGAGCCACCGCACTGAATCTGTGTTACATACAATATATTACAGCTGAGTTTTGGAAATACAATACACAGATAATGAGCACTCTGACTTCACTGACTATGCGAATACTTTTAATTCAGTTTCTACATCGTTACGTCATGTTGAATATAGCAGGTTCTGCCCTGAACCTGGTGCTTAAAATGGGATTCACAGGTTTCAACAAGGTGATGCACTCAAAGGATGTAGTCAGACCACCCAGCTTTATTCTGTAAGCTTTCAGCTTACAGAATAAATGATCTGCATCTGGTTGAAGTGGAAATGCTGTAAGATAATCTGTAACAAGAGAAAACGGGCAGATTAACATTATAATGCTTGATGTAATCTTGTTCGGTGTAAGATCTTTTCCTCGGTTGTTTACAAGATACTGCGTCATACTGTCTGGCTCTTTTTCATGAGCCGTCTCCCCACCAGCTTTTGTATGAACATGAAATTTGGTGAAATCTATTTTGCAGAGCTGTTTCCTATTTGAACTCTTCAGTGTTTACAGTTGATTTTTTTTATTTTTTATTTTGACTATCCAAAGCACAATGTGTTGGTGGCAGCAGCAGCAGCTCTTACCGCTTTCGCCTCAGTGTTTGCCCTTATGTTAGGTATGCTACTACATAGTTTGTTTTTGGCTGTGGAGGTTAAGGTGAGTTGGCTGGCTTTCAAGTTGTCATCTGGTCTGCAGGAGTTAAAGTGGACCTGCAGTGAATCAACTCTGAAAAATTACTTCTCACTCAGTAGGAGATAGTTGGGTGTATTCAAAGGACCTTGTCACTTCCAATATGCTCTCAATGAATCTCAGCCGATGCTGATCCAAGGCTTCGGCCCACTCTGCTGGGAAACCAATGTCTGCAGCCCCCATTCTGTGACTGTGTGCAATAAGATTGTTCCTTCAGAGCTTATTACAGCTCCGAGAATGAACGGGGTGTAGATACATATACATTTGGACATGGTGGCTTGTAGAGGCATATTTTCTATCTGGCATATGTGTCAGAGGAAGGAAAAACAGAGAAATGAGGGGGTGATAATGTTAGTGTCTAGATGTGCATCACAGTATGGAGCTAAGAATCCCTGAATTCTGCTTTAAATCAGCATTATGTACCTGATGAGCTTGTTTACAACACTTAAGTTTGTAGAATCTGCACCACATAACCCTTGTAGCAGTGAGACAATCATCAAAACCACATCAAAACAGGTCTAGGTACAACTTTCATCATAGAGCTGAACAGAAGGATTTAGGCTTCATGTTACCAGTGTATTATTTATGTCCCTTCATAGGCAAAATTACAGGCGCCAGTGATCCCGATGATATTTCAGTCATTTTTTGCTATGCTAATGGCTGCGTAGCATCAGGGGTCAGGTTTCTTAGTGCAGTGCTTTCTTAAGGTGGATATTTTTCATCGTGTCCACTTTGGATCTAAAAGCTGCTTTCTGTAATATCATAATTACAGTTTCAAACACATTTTTCAGCTCTTATCCCCATTGTTTTGTTGCTTTATTTTATTTTATTTTTTAAATATCCTGCATTGCTTTGACTGCTTAAGAGACTCTGAGACCCTCATATGAATTTCATTATGATGCATGTCATTGATTTTGCCTGTAGTAAGCAGAAATACCCAGGTAATTCTGGAGCAGTCACACAGAGAGTAACTTATTCAGTCGTTTTGAGCTTCTGTTTGAACTCTTAATAATTTGACAGGCTTTGAAGATAATGTGGCAGCATTACTTTTTTCAGGAAAATAAATTTTGGTAACACTTTATTTCACAGGTTTGTAAACTGCAGTTTATTTCCAGATAAATTTCTAAGACGTTTCCTGGAAGGAACCACATAATTTGGTCATAATTTTAGGTAAAATTAGACAGTGATCAGCTGGCACTTCTTGTTATTTCTACATGCTAACACAAACTTCAAGCTTTGATTCAGCGAACAGAAGTTAAGCTACACATGCAAAGTGTACACAACTCAGTGGACTCACTTAAAAAAAAATCTCAGGACTTTGTGTCTATTTTTCTGTAATTAGTACCAAACCACATGGCTTTTTCAGGAAACATTTAAGAAAGTATTAGTAAATAGTGGAGCTGTAAAATAAAGCATTACCTAATTTTTTTTTTATTAACAAAACAGACCCACACCCATGTAGCTCCATCTGCCAATTCTGGGAGCACTGTCTTATGTTAACGGAACCATCAATACGTTCTCACTTTGTTAGTTTGATGGAAAGTCTACAATAAATCCGGGAAGCCTAATAGCTTAATAATGCTACAGTATTGTGATAGAGGCTGAGTGCATTTGCTGACAAGGTTGGTAGGTGAAAATGAAGCACGCGGGAGCTGACTCTCAGCCTGGCCAACCTTGAGAGTCCATGTAAACCTTTTGAATTCAAAGTGGTAGATGTAGGAAGACTGTATAAGGGACAGAAATTAGTTTGAAAGCAGAACTGTCTCTTTATTTCACATAATGCTGCAGTAAAAAGGTTAAGCAAAAAGGTATTGAAAAGCACATACCAATACAAATCTCTTTGCCTTTTTCTGTTTTCTCTGTGCACTGCCTCACTTCTTTTCTCTTTTTCATCTTTTAGGAATTCACTCTGAAGCCTGGGGACCTAAGCAGGCCTGAGGGTTCTGACATATACCAAATCCCTGCCCAGGGGAACAGGGGAGATTAAAAACTTCAGATTGAGGAGGAGAGGAAAAACACATAGAGAGAAAGGGAGCGAGAGACAAAGAAAAAAGCTTATCGTTCACCTTTGTTCTTCCTAATGCCCCAAGTGAAGGATCTCCACAGGCACGTCTGTGAATAACAGCAGACACGAGAGCAGCTGCCCATCACTGTGGTCAGATGATGGAATAAAGGAGTGAAAGAGGAGAAGAGAACAGGATTACATTCTGTGAAAAAGCCAAGCTGATATTCTACACTAATTGAATGCCTGGGAGACAGGAAAGACATGAGAGGAAGCCTTTTCTGTGCCAGCTGCTTCAAGAGGTATTGCAATTAACCCTCTGGCCATCATAAAATAATACCTGGCTGCTGTTGTTTTCTGATTACTGGGGTTTGGTTGTGCTGTGTAGATGTGTGCTCAGGCCGTGGTCATGCTTCATTCCCCGGTGTGTAGACCGGATCGGACCGGCTGTCAACGAAACAGCCTGATTCTACCTCTGCTGCTGCTGCTGCTGCTTCTCCACAGCTCCCTCAAGGCCACTCAGGCTGGCAAGCCCAAAGGGCCAGGCCACACACATTTGAACTCCATCCGCATTGATGGGGATATCTCCTTAGGTGGGCTCTTCCCAGTACACGCCAGGGGCCACGATGGCAAGCCATGTGGGGAGCTGAAGAAGGAGAAGGGCATACACAGACTGGAGGCCATGCTCTTTGCTCTTGACCGCATCAATAATGACAATAATCTGCTGCCTAACATTACACTGGGTGCACGTATCCTGGACACCTGTTCCAGGGACACTCACGCCTTAGAGCAGTCACTCACCTTCGTTCAGGCTCTGATCGAGAAGGACGGGACAGACGTCAAGTGTCTGGGTGGCGGAGCGCCCATCATCACCAAACCTGAGAGGGTGGTGGGCGTCATTGGAGCTTCCTCCAGCTCTGTATCCATCATGGTGGCCAACATACTGCGCTTGTTTAAGGTAAGATATCAGCATGGTTATTTTGTTTGGTTTTATTGTCCTGCAAAGAACAGGAGCTGTGCTTGCAGTTGCACACCGTAATCTGAATCAGTTTATGTTTTTTGCTTGTTTTTATTGATCTCTTATATTTAATCTCTTATATACTGTATTTACCTGAATAATTCCCTGCACCGGCTAAAAAATGCTGAACACAGTGAGTGAACAATATATGTTTGACATCTGCTGCCACACTATGGACTGTTTCATAACTTTACAGAGGAGATCCCTTGGTAAATCTCATCGCTCTGACTATTGCCCTGAAGGCGTTGGTTGCTAAGCAGTGAGAGGTTTTGCTGTCATAATACAGAAGTGATCAGGAGCTTACTATTTGATTTCCTTTTTACCCCATAGTCTTTTTTACCAGTCTGTCTACGTCTGCTTACACTATGGAAAAAATATCTTCTCTTCATGGACATTTGATGAATTATTTAACACACTTTGATTTTCTATCCAACCAGCCATGACAAGTGTAACAGCTCTTTCTACTTTCCTGAAGGTGTGATTGTGATTTTACTGCTTAGCTCACTGCAAATGATGCATCTTTGATTGACTTTAGAAAGAATTACATTATATAACGTACTATCTTGTGTTTGAATTTATTTTATGGGTAATTACGCATTTTAGCACAAATACTACTCGAATCACTTTCACTTGGGCTGTTGAGCTAGTGGCTTATTTAAATTCTGCAATAATTGGAGTGAGGGATTCTTCATCCGAAAATACTCAGGCTTCAAAACCAGGCTGAATGAGAATTCTGACTTCAGAGTTTTCCTCCACCTTGATCGCACATGAAAATGCATGTCTAATCCAAACAATATTCCCAATTTACTTTCTTAAA